TAATTCTGATTATGAATTTCTGCTAACTCCAGTGATTGAGCTTGCTGGAAGGCCGCATCTAGGGTTAAAGTACTATTTTCTAACAGTCTTTGACGTATTACAGGTGACACCAGTCCGCCTATGAAAGCGTCTCTTATGTATTCACTTTCATTCTGTTCTGCTGTTTAGTTTTGTTGTTAGTTTAAGAGCTTGTATATATTGATGAACTGACTCACCGGATTGCTGATATCGCTTCATAAGACGATGTCTTGAATAGATTTCGTTTACAGGTTTTGTAAATAATTGATTTAATTTAAGAATCGCTGTAGTGTAGTTGTTACATTCTTTGATATGTGCATAAAGAATCGGCGATAAGTAATTGACGAGTACTTGGTATTGCTGCTCTGAAGTAATAGGATTATCCTTAGTATTTATAGCACTAATAAAATTTTCAAAAGTTTGTTTCCAATGTATCCATAGCGGAGATTGATCAATATTTGCTGACGGATCTGCATCGAATCTTTCGGGTCTTAGATACTTATCCATTATAGATTATAAGTAATTATTAGTTTATTAAATTGATATGAATATAGTATTGACTTATTAATTAAAACTAGATTTACCCATTATTAGGCTTTAATAAACTAAAAATTGTACACGACTATTTGACAAATAAAATGTAACTAAAATCTTCTTCTTATATTTAATGGCTTCACGACATTAGGTATTTAATAATGAAATTAACGTGCAAGTGGACAGATACTGAGGCAGATACTGTCATTACACATCAGTGATGAAGTCATATATTTTTTTATAGAACATCGTACAAACGAGTTTGCAGATCATCTGATGGTAAGTGATTACCGCCGCCCATGAGCACCCTTAACAGCAGGTGATTTAAAAGGCGTTGTCGGCCTTTTAAAAATGAATAAGCTCTTTTCTTAAAGGTTTCAGTATCGTTTCGGTTCGTTTATCATATAAAAATATAACATAAATAAATATCGCATTCGAAACGAATATTATACACATACAGGGTAGTTTGAAATTTTATTTACAACACCTGTACAATTTACGTACATTGTATGCACTTATTTTATATCAACTAGTCATTACAATAAACCAGTTGAGACCAGACCGAAATCGGTCACCCTCATTGATGTGACATTGCCAGTTTACAGATAGATTTTATATTTTTTGTTTTAGCTTATCTTTAACTTTTAAAGTTATTTAACAATTAAATGACTATCTTAACAAAACAGTACCATACCTCCATATATACAGATTACATAATGATTTAAAAAAATACAAATTATTTAAATATAATGAGCCAGGTAAGTGTTTCAGCATTTTCTATGGAAGTAGATACGAGTATAGAGTACAATTATTACGTAGTTTGGTATGATTACAAGAAGTAGTTCCAGTTTCTTTTCTTTTTATATATTTCTCTAAATTCACTTAAACAATATGTTTATATTAGAATAGGTATAAGTACATCACAACCGAACAGGCAAGATAATAGGAAAGTTGACGCAACGTTTGTGGTACCGTTCATGTTTATAGGTGACGGTTACTGCTGACTATCACATGGGCCGTCAGCTCATTTACCATTTAACTCGTTACTAAACAAAACCGTGCACCGAGGTGGGCTCTGTACAAAATCGTCCGCGTGCTCACCACTCACTCTGTCTCACCTATTTCAAATAGGGAGTTACATTATGGCTGAGGGATGAGAATAAAGTAGTGATATTACAGAGTATGGAGGCATGATATCTTAGACAACGCCATGAGGTACCACGGGTGTCACGTGATAACATTATATTTGTGGTGCTGTTCTATGATATACTCGTATATAGGTTATTGTTTTGCCGCCATTTACTATTCGATGAGATAAGTATATAAAACAACAATTACAGTCAATACAGCCTACGGATATACTAAATGAGGTCAAAATCCAAAGTACGGTTATTATTATTTTCGTATATACTAGTAGGTGTTCAGTATGTAAACATTTTTACATACCTGTATTTTCTATATTGTGATTTTTTAAGTAATAAGTATATTTATTCAGTATTTTCCTCTTACATTGGTATTTATTTGGATACATGCATGTATAATTTATACAAAACAATTTTGTATTATTATCATGTTGTGTCAATATTATTGTCTGATTGCTGTCGTATGGCTCTATTGTTCTGGTCATGGTAACTATGTCGTCTGCTGAAAAGAAAGATGTTACGTGAATTATTCATTATAAAGAGTGTCTCCTATATACATTACAAAATAAAATCCCTGCCGAGTTTCTTTGTTTTCGCATTAACCTCGGAAACTATACATATACAGTATGGATTTTAATGGGGTATTTTTATGTAATCCACTAACATACTAATTTCAGAGGAATACTTGTGTAAATTAGTTAAAATATCCGAGAGAAGTTGGGGCGGGAAGTGAATTAAATAATATTATCATTTTTATATGGAGGCTAATAATAAGTTGTAAATACTACCCGACTGTGTTATACCTATTGCGGTAGTCAGAGACATTCGGAATTGTCTACGATATGTTTAGATGGAATGTAGTGGCGAGAGGAGGCAAGCATACAGGCGTTTCTCAGATTGATATGGTTTGTAATCGGTGTTTCACCAAATTTTCGGTCGGAAATATAAATAGACACAATTTATGTTGATGTTGGCCAGATTTGAACCCATAACCATTGGTTTCAAAGTCGGTGTAGATGTACCATTAGGCCACGACACTCTGTAGTAAAAATCAACATACGAAACAACGCTGTCTGTTTATTTATTACGTCTATATTCAGCGAATCATTGAGTAAATACTTTAAGCCATAAAGCCATACGGGACAGTATCGTTTTATAGCGACTTTAATATTCGAAGGTATATGTGTATGTGTATAGGGCAGCGAAGATATGCTGCGTTATACACAACGTGGGGGTGGAACTTTTCCTTTATTATCAGACATATTGTAATCGGTAAGTATATATATTAAAGTAAAGATAGCTATTATAGTTCTACTACTGGTAGTGCTAGAGGTACTATTAATTCAAATATATAGTACTATATATAATTTATATGGCGTATATATGAAGTCGTGATTATAATACAGTTACAAATTAATACGGAATTATTTAAACTAGTTCAGTGTTCTAAAATATGTATTCATTAGTTACCTACTTACCATCTACTTGACACAAATAATTTCCTCGACACGATATATTTTGTTGTTCGTTGGGTGTATAGTATACATGATGGCCGTTTATTTTTTTCTCTTCTACTTCGTCTGTAAGTATAGATATTAGAGGATGTTAGTTAACAGTAGGTGACACACGCTGTACAGATTCTTCACCGAGTGCACGTAATTATTGACAACTATATGTATGTGCACTACTATTTCAACGTCAACGTGAGAAGACGCCACTCTCACTGATTTTATTATACAGCTAGCTGTACCCGCGGCTGTACTGGCGTGGAATTTAAGTTTATTAAAAAAAAGCATATTTCTAAAATAAAGGTAGCCTAAGTTACTCCTTATTACATCAGCTACCTGCCAAAATAGTCCCGTCAAAATCGCCCAAGCCATTTCAGAGATTAGCGGCAACAAACAGGTAGATAGACAGACAGAAAAAAATTGTAAGAAATGTTATTTTGGTGTATGTGCCATATTTATATTCATATGCATGTAGTAAAATACGGTTATTTCAATATTACAAACAGACACTCTAATTTTATTTATATGTGTAGATGTATAGATTATTAATTCATCTATTTCGACCAATGGGCCACAGGTACACATGGGCCACAATAGTATTATGTGCCAGTTAAGTATTTTGTGTAACACCTGTACTACTAATTATTGTAATGAACTAGACTGCTTACAGGTTACAATATTGTTGTAACTGTAATAGACTAGTAGATATAATGTGCATGATCTGTATGGGATTTATTTGATGTACAATAGATAATCGAATAAAATAAAATGGAAAATCCTTTATTCAGATAAACTTATATAAAGCTTTTAAATAGTTAATAATAATAACAATGTTTTTAATCCACCGCTCATTTGGAAAGTTGTCTTATCATAAGAAGAATAAGCAAGAAACTTGTGTGTCTCTTTTAAATAATAAATACCAAGCAAGCTGGCTGTGGCCAACTTGAAGTTTAGTGGCAACAATAAGTCGGTTGACATCACTCCTGCGTGTCTTTTCGAGAGCTTTGGACTCTCGAAAAGACTCGTCGTACATCCAATCAATAAAAAATAAATAGAAACCTATTTGTTGAAATACAATTTAATATTTATTAGGATCTTCCGTTGGATGCTACTCGTGACTGCGAATTTAATGGAATTTTTAATGTTATTGTTAATATAATATCCAAACTGATGACATTAATACGTCATCAGTTCATATTCATATTGTAGTGACATCGATGGTGGTCATGGAAAGAGGTACTTCGTACAAAGTCTTCCTCGGTAAGCCAATAAGACGGCCCATTACATCATCACATGATAATGTAATGGGCCGTCAGCTCATTTATCATACCAGTTCATATAATTCTTTACGTAGATACAAACAAAACCGTGTACCGATGTGGACTCTGTACAAAATCATCCGCGTGCGTACCTCTGTCTCACCCATTTCAGCCAGGAAACTACTTTATATATCAGGGACGAGAATAAAGTAGTGATATTACAGAGTACGGGCATGACATCATAGGACTTTAGACAACGTATGGGACGTGAGGTACCACGGGAGTCACGTGATAACGTTATATCTGTGGTGCTGTTCTGTGATATACTCGTATATAGGTCATTGCCATGCCGCCATTTATCATTTGACGAGCCGTCAGCTTGTTTTTTATTCTAAATACATAAAACAACAATTACAGTCAGTACAGTAGCGTAGTAGCCTACGGATATACTAGATGGGGTTAAAATACAGGGTACTTTTGTCGTTATTATTTTAATACATATTAGCAGGTCTAGTATTCAGTACCTACGTATTAGATTTTTACATACCCATATTGTAATTTGTTATGTAAAAAATATATTTATTCAGTATTTCCCTCTCACATTTGTATTTAGTTTGATACATCCATGCATAATTTACACAATACAATTTTGTATTATTATCGTGTTGTGTCAATATTATTGTCTGATTGCTGTCGTATGGCTTTATTGTTCTGGTCATGGTAACTATGTTGTTTGCTGAAAAGAGAGATATTACGTGAATTATTCATTATAAACAGTGTCTCCTATACACATTACAAAACAAAGTATCTGCCGGGTTTCTCTGTTTTCGCGATAACCTCAACAGACTAATCCACTAACATACTAATTTCTGCGGAAAGCTTGTGTAAATTAGTTAAAATATCCGCGATAAGCTGAAGTAAAAAGTAAATTTAATAATATTGTCTTTTTGATATGGAGACTAATAATAAGTTGTAAAAACTACCCGACTGTGTTATAACATAGTCGGGTAGTAGGTATACTTATTGTTGTAGTCAGAGACATTCGGAATTGCTAACGTCATAGTGAACGCAACACTTGATATGTTTAGATGGAATGTAGTGGCGAGAGGAGGCAAGCATACAGGCGTTTCTCAGATTGGTATGGTTTGTTATCGGTGTTTCCACCAACGAATTGTCAGTCCGAAATATAAATGGACACACTTTATGTTGATGTTGGTCAAATTTGAACCCAAAACCATTGGTTTCTAAGTCGGTGTAGTAAAGCATTAGGCCACGACTCTGTCGTGAGAAGCAAAATAACCTTTTTTAGAATATGCTGTCTGCCTATTTATTACGTTCATATTCAATTGATCACTGAGTAAATAATAAATATATTCAGTGACAAAACACATTGCTAAACATTCGGAGCAAAATTTTGGATCAAATAGTACTGTAGATACACAGATGAAGGATTCGATTGCTAAAAAACTGACAACAACAAAGTATGTAACTTTTTTAACTAAAACGATATTATGTCGTATATCTTTAAACCTCTAACCTTCGAAGATATATGTGTATAGGGCACCCAAAAATATGCTGCCTTATACACAACGTGGAGAGTGGAACTTTTCCTTTATTGTCAAACACGTTGAAATCGGTAAGTATAGATGGCTATTATAGTTCGACTACTGACAGTGCTAGAAGTACTATTAATTTAAATACATATATATATTTTATATGGCGTATATGTGAAGTTGTGATTATAAAACATTTACAAATTAAATTCAAATTGTTTAAACTATTTAAGTGTATTAAATTAAATATTGTAACGTGTTCTGAAATATGTATTCATTATGTACTTACCATCTACTTGATATAAATAATTTCACAGTGCTAGAAGTACTATTAATTTAAATACATATATATATTTTATATGGCGTATATGTGAAGTTGTGATTATAAAACATTTACAAATTAAATTTAAATTGTTTAAACTATTTAAGTGTATTAAATTAAACATTGTAACGTGTTCTGAAATATGTATTCATTATGTACTTACCATCTACTTGATATAAATAATTTCCTGGACAATATATATATTGTTGTTCGTTGGATGTATAGTATACATTGTGATCGTTTGTTGTTTTCTTTTCTACTTCGTCTGTAACGATAGATATTAGACAGTTAACAGTAGGTGACACGCGCTGCACAGATTCTTCACCGAGTGCACGTAATTATTAACAAATATATGTACGAGTATGCACTACGTTCAACGACAACGCAAGAAGAGCTACTCTCACTGATTTTATTATATATTATTATTATTTCATTTATAGGCTTTGAAATAAATTACTTAATGTGGAATTTCGACCAATGGGCCACTACTACTACTAGTTATAATAGTATTATGTCTCAGTAAGGTATTTTGTGTAACACCTATACTACTAAATTTTGTACTGAACTAGACTGCTGACTGTAACTGCGTTACAATATTGTCGTAATTCTAATATACTGCGTGACCTATATTATTGTATGGGTTTTATTTGATGCAGATAATGGAATGCCAAATAATCTGGCTGTTGCCCACCTAATGTTAAGTGGCAACAATAAGTCGGTTGAACAATGAACATGCACTTTATCACATCACTCCTGCGTGTTATTTCCAGAGGACAAGGCGTCGTACATCCACACGAATAAAAAATAAAAATAAAACTTATTTCTTGAAGAACAATTTAATATTTATTAGGAACTTACAAATTGGAAAAGGTTGGTACTCGCGACTGTTCAATTTAATGAAATTTAAAAATGTTATTGTTAATATATAATATTACAATAGGTTGGTACACTACCCCGTAATTTGACTACTACGTTTCATCTCATCTAGTTTCGTAGAAAGATCACATCTATGACGATCATGAGATGAAGACAAAGCAATCTGTTTGGTGGCTGAAGAGGGACACAGGGATGTAACAGCAGTACTTCGTACAAACTTTACCTCGTTGAGTCAGTAAGCTGTTAGTTGATACAAATATTACCTTTTAAGATTAACATACCCGAATTTGCAGATTTTACATTTAACACTGTGATGTTTTCAACATAGCCGTCGTATGAATTTTGTCTGCACATCATGATCGTATTGTTATCAAACACTTGTACATCCATGGAGATTTCCAAATCATAGTCACTATATGGATTTTCCGCATAACCTAGAACTAAAAGCAATAATTTACTAAGCTAGCTGAAACCACTCTCCATGTAACTTTCTAAAATAACTAATGTTTAGTAAACCGTTTCTGGTTTAATAATAAATAAATAATAAATTATGAATGGAAAATGTAACATAGTTTCCGCAATACAGTCCAGCCGAGTGGGATTCGTTTATTATATTGAGTTATAAAACTATGTCTCAATGGTTGTAGATCCTGTGCATTGCACGTGTCTGTGCCGACTGTTGTTTAGTTACATTAAAGAAAATAGAAAAAGAATAGATAACAAAAATTCAAAATAAAACAATATCTAAAGATGCTATCTACTCGTAGTATTATCAGAATCCGTACACAAGCAAATAGAATCGATCCGAAAACTTTATTCTTTTGTTAGTTATTTGGAATAAACGATCTTACCCAATGACTGATTGTTACTTGTGTAGTGCCACCAAGCAATTGTACTTCTTCCATTACGTTTGCATTTATGTTTATATTTAGATCCTTCTTTTTTCTCTAGGTATTGTGAATTGGATCGAGGTGGGGCTGAATATAAGTATTGATACAATAAATAATAGTTTATTTACGCTATATAAGGTTAATAGTAGACTTAATTTTACACCGAAAGTTAATAGATAGTATTTAGGGTACTGTAATAATTTAGATTGCAAGAAGAAAACTAAAAAAAATAAAAATATAATTGAATACTTTCATATAAACTGCAGGTACGTGATTAATTTAGTTTAAAATTAATAATTTACTTTATTGGTTTCCACTTTTTACTTGTTACTCGACCTGACCTACGCTTGTAGTACTCATTGCGATTAACCCTGTATATTGTAAGTATATATGTATAATATTTATTATATTAGTAATAATTAATTACTTTAACTACAATCGATACGCATTTGTGAAACTCCAACCGTAGCTTGTATGTTGTGTTTTAGTTTTAAGATGAGATCTGTCAGTAAAATTACAGCGGCTAAAGCGGCTAAATCTGAATCCTCCGAAGTGGTAACGCATCAGTGGTAGATAGTACGGACATCGTATGATGACGTGATGTTCATGTACATAGACCATGGTTGTCATATGTTGTTGTTAACAAAAATGTATTTTATTAATAAATAAAGTAATGTTAATATAATTCTGCAGTGGTCATCGAGATTCATTCGAAAGATTTGGAATGATAGATTAAAATAGAACGGATTCTTATAGACAATATTCACCTACTTGTATTCTATAGCACATTTTCTTCCTTGTATTGGGGAATAGAGTATTGTTGACATAGAAATGTTGTATAATTAAAATAATTTATCGTTATTAGGCGGGTACTTACCATCACATTTGTATTGAAAATATATACCACATGAATACGAGTGTGATGAAGGACCTAAAATATATATAATACACAGATCATAATTATTACAATTTTTATGACAAAGTCAGAACACAATCTTTGAAATCAATTTGAAATCTTAGGTATAATGGTACATACATTAAAATATTTTTTGTTATGTTATGTTACTGTTTTCCTTTACTTTTAAAGTGAACAACGGTACACCAAACAAACTAACAACAGTAGAAAACGCTAATATATACATGTGTGTACCTATTCATGCATGTGTATGGGAGCGTGCAACTTAGGGGAGTTCGTGGTCAGGTCTACCTGGAATCCGTTCTAGTTACTAATTGTTAAATTACTGACTTCATTAGCATCCTATAATCTCCCACTGGCTCCCCAAAAGGGTATACCATGTTCACAGGCAGGTGCGACAATTATTAAAACGAATCGGCTGAAGGTGTCTTTTACCCGAGAGACATCGATGGAGACTGAACAGGACACTGTCTTTTTACCAATTACAGTCTTTATGAAGTCTTTAAAAATAATTTAATTATTAATAATATTTAATAATAATTACTCAAAAATAAAACATTGTTTCTCAGAACAAAATATAATACAAATTCGACTCTCTAGTGAATGAATGAATTTCAACAAACTGTTCACTATTTTTTGGGTATCAACCAGGTCCATGTGGACTTTTACTTTGTACATGATGAATTCTATTCGCCACCATGACTTGTTGTTAATTCTTAAGTATAGTATACGAGACAATGTAAAGACTTTTTAAAATTTCATTGTGTTTACAATTATATGTACTTTGATATAATATGATACAACTATACAACTATGAATATCGTAATCTAGTTTTACTTACTATGCGTCCACCATGACGACTTGTAGTTTAAACGGAATAATCTCCTTTCAGCACATATTGTTCGGTCGGCTCTCAACAATAATAGATGATAAACTTTATTATCACTATGTGATAAGGAATCTCTGATCGTAACTGATGTACTCGTACCTTCAAGCCATTCATCTTTTATATATATAGTACCGTCTGAAAATATTTTAGTTTTGATGTGATATAGATAGTCAGAAGAGGATTTTTTTATATTTTCGGTTATATTTTTGCAATCCTTATTATTTTAATGAAAATATAGCTCATATAATGTTTAACAATGTATATCCAAACTAGTATTATTAGTAATATCATTATTAAAAATAGAATAAGTGCTGGTTGTAAAATATTTACTATTTGTAATATTAGTGTGGGTTCCCGTATAGTTGAGTATGCTAGACGGCGACTGACTCGGGCATTGTGGCCGTGCACATGGTCAATACGGAACTGGACGGTAGGGTAAATAATTAAAATCATAATGTAAAAGACTTGACGTTCATAAGCGGCTAAAACGTCCTACATGAATAAATAATTTTGAATTTGAATAAATAAATTACGGAATAACAAATAATTATATAACAAACAATAGAGCAGAAACACACTCCCGGTAACTTGAAATTACAAGCGACTTCTAATGATCCAATGATACCACACCTGACGGTCAAAATTAAGAATTTAGAAAAGTTAAAGATAATCAAGTCTAATAGAATTTTGACTCTTCTCTGAATGATGTTTAGAAATAAAAGAGCTCTAGTGAGAGTGAAGAGTGTCGAAACTTTTCCGAACAGAACTGAAGTGTAAGTTCTGTTCTGTCATGTATATAAGATGTGTTAAACTACAAGTATATAGTAAACTACTTTAGAACAAATATTTTGACTACAAAATTGCGTTTTAACAATTGAAAAATATAGAAAGAACTGTAATATCTCACTAAAAATAACATTCTATTTATATAACGCTGTGATAAGGTCAATGGGATCTGGTCTAACGGTCTTTGATTTAGTGAATGAGTACGTAACTGTCACCCACAACCAATAAACTAAAGTCTGTATACAGACTTGTTTGTTCAGCTGTATAAAAACAACCGCAACGACAATCATGGAGATCTCTCTATGGCTTACGCAGAATGTAACTATAGCTGACATCAGACTTTTCTACTTAGTTTTATGAAGTAAGAGCAACAGTCCTCACGATGTCATCCTGAGCCAAATAATCGAATAGGCATTTAAACATACCATTCATTCAACAAAAAACTGATAATACTAGTTATTTCTCGCGATTTCCTCTGTTATTTTTTGATAAAAAATGATAATATATATAATACCTGTACTATGTATTTTCTCATTATAAGTTGTTTATTATAATTTTGTACTGGTAAACTGTTAATGCTAAAGTGTAATATTACATTTATTTATTACTAGTAAAGCGCTACACTTTAATAAACTGGCAAAAATAACTTTCGCCTTGAATCGCTATCTATTACTGAAATCTGAATTAAAATTCCTTGAGTAACTTAAAGATATAAGTGTAAAGACAGTGGCGGCAACTTTGTTTTATATGATACAAGATGTGCCCCGCGGTTTTACCCGCGTTAAATTTCAATATAAAATATAGCCTATGTGTTATTCTGATGCATAAGTTATATTACTGTACAATTTCATCAAAATCCGTTCAGTAGTTTTTGCGTGAAATAGTAACAAACATCCATACTCACTGTAGGCGACGCACTACGTTATCAATTTTTTTATAAAATTAATTTTATTATTATATGTACGTATATATGCATAAATATACACGATACGTTCGTCATTTTTTAATAAATATATATGAGGGTGCGCACACGTATAATTAATATAAATCTACCCGTTTTCTACACAATATTGTAGTCGGATTCTGACGATCGCGGTGACGCTCGGTGTCACATATAAAATAAGTGCGTGCTCTCAGTTTGCGAAAATAAGTCGGTGTTTTAGTTCCATCCTTTACAAAGCTGATCCTTCTCGCCAAATCTGAACCAGAATAATGTTCAATACACCGCCGCGCGATAAAATAATATCGTACAAAGAACGCCATAGACTGACCGATAGGTTAGAATGTGCTTCGGAGCATGTGCTCGCTAAAGACACCGCCGCTGTAATTCCGCCGCGTAGCACGGTACGGAGTAATATATCGCTACGTGGAGAAAAGGAGCTCTTCATGCAGCAAAATATGTCATCGCAACGTCCTCTACGGGATCCGTCAGTTACGTCATCAAAGGCGTCAGAGATCAAACGAAAACAGTTGGAACTGGAGGCTGCCCGTGCAAAGGCAAAAATTCAACTGGATTTGATTGATAAGGAGCTGGAAGCTAACCTGGCCATCATCACGGATGGCAGCAGAAGGTCCATTCACTCTTCTAAGCACGCTTCAGTATATGACCCACATATTCATTCCCATGTTGAAGACTGGCTGGAACAGAGTAATGTGCAACCGCCGTGTAACGCTGATCAGGAGTTGAACACGGCACCGATGATGCAAGCAGTGCCGGCAACCGATTGTCCACAACATAGCCGCCCTGCACCAGTCAATGGAGAAGATAGTATTCTGCAGCTAGCACACATACTGAAGGATATGATGGTGAACTCGTCATCACACCAGGATGAGCGTTTACTAACCCGTCTCGCCACACCGAGGGAATTACCCACTTATTTTGGCGATTGCATGGAGTGGTTACATTTTAAAAGTGCATACATGGAGTCCACTCGCGTGTGTCAGTTTAGTGATTCGGAGAACCTGTGGAGGTTACGCCGTGCACTAAGAGGTGATGCTAAGGAGGCAGTCACCGATCTGTTAATCGGAAACACGTCACCCGGCGACATCATATCTGCGCTGGAACTGAGGTTTGGCCGTTCCGATATTATTATTCACCATGTAACTACACAGATAAAAAAGTTACCATCTTTACCTACTCATTATCAACAAGATATAGTTAATTTTTCAATAAAAATTAATAATTGCATTGCTACACTCAACGCAATGAATCTGCATGATTATTTACGCAGCCCAGAGCTCGCGTCAGCAATATCATCGAAATTACCAAGTATATTAATTAGTAAATTCACTGATTATGCATTTGATCGCTTGACAGATGATACACCAAAACTAATGTTATATGCATCTTTTTTAAAACGTGAGGCTGAAATGACGTCGGCTCTCGGTCTATCACAGCCGCGAGAACAAAAGAAACCCGACATGCCTACAATAAATAACAAGCGAACAGATGATCGCTACCGCTACAACTATAATAAACAAGTATTTACAACTACAACTATTAATGAATCAAAATTATGTAGATTTTGCAACAAATCACAACACTTATTGCCAGATTGTCGATTATTTCGAAGAGCTATGCGTAAGGATCGATGGAATTTTGTTAAAAATAACAAGCTATGTTATTGTTGTTTATTGGCGCGACACGATCGTATGTCATGCGCTGCACCTGTATGTAACATAGACGACTGTGGGCTGGCGCATCACACATTGTTGCATTACAGAAAGCCCATCCATACAGACACACAGCCCGTGACCACTATGGCGACATCATCACAACATGAATCATCGAGTACCGACGCGACTGTAGCCTATGTGAACTCCGCTACCGACGGGACTGCGCCCGGGCTACCGGGGCGCGGTCGCTCCCCCACAGTGACGTCATGTGATGTGATACTCAAAGTAGTTAAAGTGAAGTTAAGTGGACCCAACGGTACAGTGAGTACTTATGCCTTATTAGATGACGGTGCTTCGATATCGATGATCGATTCCGGCTTAGTAAATGAACTTGGTCTTAAAAGTTTAAGTTCTAGTTCTATTAAATTAATTGATGCTTTTGGTTTAGAAGTATACCAGTCTGATGCTCCTAAAGTCTGTTTAAATATTTCTGGCTATGATAATTGTAACTATAATAAGTGTAACTATAATATAACTTTACGTAATGTATCTAAACTAAAATTACCTATGCAAAATTTGTCTGTAATAAATAATATTCACTGTGATTATTTATCATCTGTAAAACAATTTGTATGTACTGAGAACGTGGTGCCTCGTCTGTTAATAGGTGAAGATAATTATTTTCTTTTAGCGCCGTTAGAAATATTACACGGTAATAAATATGAACCCTATGCAACGCGTTGTCGCTTAGGCTGGTCGATACATGGTAGTTATGGTCGCACGAACTCATCACTCACACAGGGGCACAGTTTCCACGTTACACACAACGACGAGGTAAGTGAAATTACTATATTAAACAACTTAGTTAAAAATTCATTTGAACTGGACTGCATAGGAATATCAACCTTACGCCGTGAGAATACGGCCGATTTAAGAGCGGTTAATATATTAGATCAGACCGCGCGAAACATAGGTAACAGGTGGGAGGTCGGACTGCCATTCATTAAGGATGTTTTATGTATACCTGATAGTTACAACTATGCACTATCACGCTTGAACGGGTTATTGAGAAAATTTAAGTCGGACAGCGCGTACGCTGATAGGTATAAAACAGAGATGCACAAGTTGTTTGATAATGGTTATGCTCGAGTTTTAAAGGAAAATGAACTTGTAGGTAATCGTATATGGTATCTCTGTCATTTTGGCGTGCTAAATCCGAACAAACCCAGTAAGCTGAGGTTAGTGTTTGACGGTGCCGGTAAGGTCAACGGCTTGTGTTTAAATGACTTCTTACTTACTGGACCCGATTTGTATAACTCATTACTAGGTATTATGTTGCGATTCCGCGAACATAAATATGTTATAGTAGGCGATATAAAGGACATGTTTTTACGTATACGTATTAGAGCTGAAGATCAACACTTATTTAGGTTTTTATGGCGGGAAGACGACCAGTCCCCGTTAAAAATATGTGTCATGCAAAGTTTAGTTTTTGGTGCAACTTGTTCTCCATTCATTGCGCAACATATAAAAAATAAAAATGCGCTTAAATATGAGGATTTGTATCCGGAAGCGGTAGATGTTATTATTAACAATCATTACATGGATGACTGTTTGTACTCGTGTGACAGCGAAGAAAAAGCAATTAAATTAGTTCGCGAAATTACGGAAATACATAGTTACGGCGGATTCGAGATAGGCCGCTGGTCGAGTAATAGCAAACCGGTTTTGAACACAATACCGCATCGAGCGCTCACTCAGTCTGCTGTTGATTTTAAACACGGAGCTAATAATACAACTGAGCGCACTCTCGGTTTGATGTGGTATCCTAATGACGATGCATTTGCTTTTAAAATATCATTCAACCGTATTCCGCAAAACATAATAAATGGCACGGAGCCACCTACGAAATCTCAAATGCTTAGTATATTAATGTCTGTTTATGATATTCATGGTTTTCTTGCTCCTTGTATAATTAAAGGTAAAATATTATTTCAAAGTGTACATCGTAGTGGTGTCGACTGGAAATGCCACATCCAACCAACAGAGTTTGTTCAGTTTACTAGTTGGTTATGTGAACTAAAGAAGTTAGATTCTTTACGTATACCTAGGTGTTATATTAATGGTAATGAGTGGACTTTTTGCTATAATGAATTACCGAATATTACATGTATTAATAATAATTTTGTAGACATACAACTCCACACTTTTTGTGATGCTTCAACAAAGGCATACGCTGCCGTATCTTATTGGCGATTGATTCGGTCGGATTGTTGTGTTCAAGTTAGTTTCGTTGGTAGTAAAAGCAGAGTGAGTCCACTCCGTCCTATTTCAATACCGAGGCTTGAATTACAGGGAGCGGTAATAGCCGCCCGCCTTGCAAATATTATTGAGACCGATCATAAGGATTTTAAACCAGCAAAGCGTTACTTTTGGACAGATTCTAGTACGGTTTTACAATGGATCCGTAGCGATCCGCGTAATTATAAACCTTTTGTCGCTCATCGACTCGGTGAGATAGATGAGCTGACGAAAAACTGTGAGTGGCGTCATGTGCCGTCTGATGCTAACGTAGCCGATGTAGCTACACGACATGATGCATCACCACTGTCATACTCAGACCCGTGGTTCCAGGGTCCTGCCTTTCTACGGCGACCTGAGAGTGAGTGGCCTAAAGATCGTAAGTTCTCCAAGACATCGCAAGATGTGACTTGTGAAGAACGATCAATTAATGTGGTTATGTACAGTTCAGAATTATCTTTGCCTAGCGAAGATAATATCTCGAATTGGATCACATTAGTGCGAGCCACCGCCCG